GGGGGACGACAAGGTTTGCTGTCAGAGATGGTGGCCAGAGTGTAATGGTGTGATTCCGGCCGAACAAGATCTAAGATTTGGATTCAAAGAGGAAAGGGTATTTTTGTTTTTATAGTGACTATCAATGTCGTTAAGAAATTTCACTAATAGATATTAATGAAAAATGGATAATTGTCATTTTAAAAAATTTCGGATAGTAAATTGTCTTTAGCAATGTTTTAAAACCCGGCCCAGCCCGACCGGTTCAACCGGTTCAACCGGGACCCAAAAGCTTCAACGGGCCGGGTTTAATTTTTTCTTATTCACCCAATACCCTAGGATTTCTGGTGATGATCGGCAAACAATTAACTGTCGGAATGTTAGGGCTTTTGAAGAGCTATTTCCGGTGAATGTAATGGTGGTGAAAGATTTGATTTCCTATGAGTAAATCAACCGAAAATCGAACAAAACTAGCAGCGGCAACGATGAGATTTTTTCGGCGATTGACGAGGCTAACAGGGGTGGGGTGAGGGGGTTTTGGTCGAGAGAAAAAGGGGAATAATTCTGGGGTGATGGGAAGGGTTGTCGTTGCGGAATCGATGGGATCTGGCCTGGAATGCTGACGTCGATGTCGGTGAGATCTGGTCGAAATCGAACCTATTTCGGCTAGATCTTGGGTATATTTTGATGGAAATGGGCTCAAGGGACGATTGGGGTTGCATCTGGGGTATCGCCGTCGCTAATTAGTCGCCGATCGATTTGCAATTGGGGTATGTTTGATAAATTTTAAACCTATAGGGACTTACCTGTAATTTTTAAGGGTATATTTGCTACATTTTAAAAGCTTTTGTCAACCCGGGACCCAGAAGCTTTATCGGGTTTCACTCCGGATTGGGTTTTAAAACATTAGTCTTTAGGGCAAAGTTCGGGTGGAAAGATCTCATTCGGCCTTAGTTTTTGTATTGTAGAAATAGTAACCTTGAGCTGCAACCAGATGTGAGAGGAGAACTAGGAGATAGTTGTCTTTTACTCTTTATCGTAAAAAAAGATTGATGTTACCCAACTTAAGTCCAAGCCCACATCCTATAGGTCAAAAATAGAGATATTATCATTTAAGATACAAAGTTTTCAAACTTTTATAATGGGACGACAGGAGTTATAAATTGTTCAATTAAAGGATTTTTAATAGTTATTTGTCGTTAACTTTAACGGAAAATGACTTTGATGCCCTTGATTTTTTTTATTTTTTTTTAAGTTAATTTAGTTCTTAAATTTTGAATTTAAAAAAAAAAACCAAAGCCAATTTTTTTAAAGGAAATAAGAAACTAAAAAATTAACAAATTAAAAACTAAAAGAAAATTTAATAAATTAAAAATTAAAAAAAGAAAAGAAAATAGTAATAGCTTTTTAACATTTTTTTCTAATTTTTAAAATTTTCATTGTTTTTAATTTGATAAATTTTGATATTATTTACTTTATAAAAAATAATAATTTTTTTTTTAGTTTTTTAAAATTTTATTGTTTTAAACTTTTAGTTTTGATAAATTTTTATTTTTATTATTTACCTTGTAGAAAGAATAGATTATATGTGTTCAATTACATATTTACCCTTATAAAAGGTTAAATCCGACTCTAAGTAACTGTTATTGTTTCTTAATTGAAGGATTTGTAATTTTTTTTCCTCTCATTATAAAAGTCTGAAAAGTTTGTATCATAAATAATAATACTCCTTCGGAAATAATGCAACCCATGGGATGTTGCATATTCCCATTTCCCACAAGACCATGTACCTGGAAAGTTCCAAGATAGTTCTAATTAGGTTAAATAGGCATCATAATAATAATTGGGCCTCTGGCCGGCGAAGCCCGAAAAGTTTGTCTAATGGGAGACATGCCCAAAACCTACTAGGCGTTGACAAGTGGCATGACGCTTGTCATGTTGTGAGGTATTCTCTCAAGTCTCGAAACAACTTTTCCCTACCTCCTTTCATCAATCTATACTTAAATCCTAGGAGAAAACCTTCTTCACCATTATACCACAAAAATCAAAGTAGATGGGTCACGTTAAATCTTGTAAGGGGGCGTGGTTCAAGAATATTCTCATATTTCTCACATAATTCTGTCAATTTATTTAACTTAAGTATTCGATGGGTCATATTAGTAAAATTCATCGGTATTCATTGATCATAAGAATAATTGTAGTTATTGTATGCAAGCAGAAATCTCCTGATTTAAGTGAATCTGTTAAGACAAAAACCTCAGGCAACAGAAATTACTCTGATCATTTTTCACACAAATAATTACAAATTGTAACTGATGCAGATGTTGCATTAACTGGATAAATTGCCATCAATTCCACCAAATTAGGACAATGTCACCTTAATAGAGCACAAATTGTTTACAAGGTTAGTGATATTTGTGTTTGAGCAAACAACATGTTCCCACCCAAGTTTAGCGAAATCCAAGGTTCCCACACCTGTTTTCATAAAATCCAAAAGTCATGCAAAACAAAAAACAACTGTAGTCAGCGTTTGGCTGGTGCGGTGAGGCGAAGATGAGAAGGGTTTTTGTGAGTGAAGGGTAGAGAGGGAAGCTAGAGGTGGAGTCAGGGGTGATGAACGGTGTCAAAATCATGCCAAACCGGCTTGAATTGGCGGTTGCGAAGGTGGAGGTGAGTTGTGGAGGGTGATGAATTCGGCCAAAAATCAAGGGTGGAAACATAATTATTTTGAAATTTTCATTTTTATTTCATATTTAATGAGTGTAAAGTGAGTACTTTATCCTTTCACTGGTATATATTAAACAATTTTTCATTAATTTAGAGGTGCGAATTTAGAATTTATAAAACCAGGTGAAACCTTGGATTTCACTAAACCTTGGGTTGGGAACATCTTGTTTGCTCTTTTGTGTTTTTAAGTTTTTTTTTTTTTTTTTCCTTATTTAAACTGATACATAATCTACATGAATCAAGTTCATAGAATATATTGATAGTCACTAGAATTATTTATTTTATAAACTAATAAATCATGGGAGACAAGGTTCATGGACAAAACTATAGCTACCGTCAAATTGACATGCTCATTATTTTGGCTTAAATTCCTTCTACTAATTATTATTGTACAGTTGAAATAAGTGGTAATCTATTCAATAAAACAAAGCTCCAACAACATTATAAAAACATATATCTGTTCAATAAAAAAAAGCTCGAACAACATTATATATATATATATGATCTTATTTTCTTCTGCTTGAGAAAATTTATTGGGATCGAGTGGTAGAAAAATTGGACAGACTTCCACATCATGCAATATTTGGATTTTTAACACTTATTTTAATTATTTTTAATAAGACAAAACAATTGATTCAAGAATATAGTTCTTTATAATTCGCCAATTATTCACTTACATTTCGATCTTCCCATTATAAAAGAATAAACTAAATTAATAATTTAAGAGCCATAAGCTGAATTAGTTGATAAGGGATATTGATATACCAACAATGTTATGCATATTAAAAATATATATTACCTTAAAATTCTATGATAAATGATAATATTTAATATTATAAAAGATAAAAACAAAACGGAGGCCTAAGGGCATAATCAGAAGCAGGGCATCTTTGTAAGCAATTTTTCTAGCCTTCCGAGGATTCCATAATCGGATTTTTCTTCATGAGCATATCACCGACTACTACATCCATTTATCAATTACAGTTTAAACTTACATAAACTTTGAAGAAGAAGAAATTGGAAAAGAAAAATGTATCTCATTTGTTTGTTAGCTTGGAATATTTAGTTCTCCACGGTGTTTCTTTCTCAAACAAGTCTATTGATTACTTACATAGTACTAATTAAGTAAAGGGATTGGATAAATTTGTTGAGCAGCTGGCCCATTATGCTGACAAATCGTATGCTCGAATATTATGTATATCAGTATGAGCACTTGATTAGGTTCGTAAAAGAATAATACTATATGCATTAATCAAAAATCATACAATCTAAATACTAATTGATGTGATAGACCTCTTTTATTGTCACGTCAGTTTCTCTCAAAAGCTAAAAAAAAAAAAAAAATTAAAATTTCAATTATTAATACTTGAATTAATATAATTTAGTTAGTACATATAACATTACTCTTAGTAAAAAGGTTGGCTATTGCTTTTACTAATTTAATAAAGAATGATGAATTAGTTAAAAGTCAATAATGAATAAATAAGTTTGATTAGGCCATTGAAGAAGGTAGAAAAAGTGGCTTAAATAGTGTAAAGTTATGTTCATAGGTCTTTGGTGTATAGCTCATAAATGCCATGCATTCTTCTTCACCACGTTCACACGTCTTCCTCTTTATGAAAGATAAACTTTTTGGCGGTAACAACTGTCACCGAATTGGAAGCAAAGTTTTAGCTTCATGTCTCCCGACATGTCAAAATTCTCATACTTATTTGGTGGCTTCACAAATTCACACGCCGGATTTTGTACCGAAAATCTTGACAAGTTTTGGCCTTCCCTTCACTATAAATACAGGTGCATTTTAAGGGGAGATCACACACATTCTCAAGCAATACAAACACTAGAGACGGAGAGTTTGAGTTAGAGAGATTAGAGTGTGTGAGAGTGTGAGAGATATTTGGTGTATTTAGGATTTGGGGTTGAGAGTTTTCACCAAATATTGTATACTCTATTTTGCTAGTTAAATTCAGCTATTATCTTCGCCGGTAAACGTAGACTAAAAAATCGAACCACGTAAATTATCGTAGTTATTGTGTGTTATTATTTTTTCCTGTTTTTCTTGACGTTAATTTTATCTGTGGGGTTAGGTTTATCACAACAAAAAATCTTATAGAAATATGAACATTCAAAGCTGAAGATATGTGGCAAATTTCCTGTCAGGAAAATGAGATTTATATCACGGTGTCCAATTAACATCACTAAATGACCACCATTAACTTCCAAATTAATAATACATTATGAATGCGTATCTTACTTCAGATTACCAACCAGCAAGCCTAGTACATAAACTCTAATCAATAACATTCATACAACTTAATATCCATCTTGATGCGGAAATACTCAATGCTTTCGACAGCTTCAGTTGTGAAAGTTACAATACCTCTAGCCATGAAAAAGTCTCCAGTTCCTCCAACCACAGAGAGATCCCGAGTAGGCGCCCCTAAAGGGTCTGACCCCATGATATTGATAGTGCCTTTATGTTCAGTCGAGTTGAAAATCAAAGAAAATGCAAAGAGTGTACTGTAGTCAGTTCTCATATCGTAAACAGACAGCCCTTGAGCTGCAGCGACAGGAGGAGAGAGGAGGTTTTCATCTTTGGTAATGGGATCATCAAAAATAATGAGGGAGCGAAACTGGTAGTTTGTCGCATTTGTAATTCTGTAAGATGTTGAATTAGAAAGAATGTTGCGAGTTCTACCAAAGAGGATGTCATGATAATAAAGCACAAATTGTTTGCATGGTTTCGGGTATTTGGAACTTTTCCTGGAAGCTAAAGCTGAAGGAGAAATGATGGAATGTGATTATTATAAAGTGTTGTGATCCACGCTTAATTAAAGGCTGAAACTATTCTGGCTTGACTCATGGAATTACAGTTACAGATTTCATGAAATTACATTGATTGTATTTGATTGTATTTCCATATTTTACATTTGTAATCTTGTATAAATTGAACACATTACAAAACTGAAATATACAGAATATTACAAAACTGAAATATACAGAAAATAAATATTCTTTCATCTTCTATTCTCTTATCTTCTAAGCATTATGTCATCTTTATTCCTAGACCTCTTTGGCTTCTCTTCTTGCCATACTCTGCAAAAGAAAGAAACAAAACATCATCACTACAAGCCCTTTCATTTTTTAAGTTTATAGCTTGTAGTAATGGAATGGTTGGATTTGTGTGAGATATGGCAATCTTTCCTCTTTATATAGTGATGAAAGAGTTAATCTGTTATTGTCTCACACTAATCAAACATTATAATAGTCCACTCAACAACTCTCTTTTACTTAATTTGACTTTGTAGTGGTAGTAGAGCTCATTATTCAAATGTGCTTTATGATCATTAATAAATAAATGCTTTATCCTGTTGGGTTGTTGTTTATATATATATATATATATATATATATATATATATATATATATACACAGTAAAACCTCTCTATAGTGATACTCTATATAGGAATAAACTCTACATAGTCATCAAAAATTATATTCCCAATTTGGGATAGTTATAGATAAGAATAAACTCCACATTGTAATAAGTTATAATTTTTTTAATTTCCGTCTTAAGGAAAGTTGCCTCCACATAGTAATAATTATTTGTATATTGCAAAAAAAAAATATGTTATGTTACATTAAAGGTTTATGATGAAGTAAAATATTTATCTAAAGTTGTTTGCGACAATGATTTATGCTTTAGAGTTGTTACCAAATCTTCTAACTTGCGGGTATATAATAACTTGCTAGCATGGACATCTTCTTGTTGAAGCCAAAATATTTCTAGCTTCTCAAGCATCTTTAAAGCTTCATGACACGAAACTTTTTGCATTTCCGTACTATCATCCTCAGGATTATTTCATTTCTCTTCTTGTCTAATTACAGCAATGATTTCTTCTTCAGTTAAAGCATATACGACTTGTTGCTCATTTGGATGATCGAGGAAGACATTAATATCCATTCGATTAGTGTAGTGAAGTTGTCGAATCTGATCACTCAATTTTGCAATGACTTTTCTATTCTCTTCATCCACTTCATTTGTAACTTGCAATTCATCGACATCAATGGTCCTAATTTTGCAGTGCTTAAAACAATTGATAATTGTTTGTGGCTTCACATCAATTGACCATGCAGCAACTGCATTTACAATTCCATCAAGGATACTTATCTTTTCTGGTTCCAATACATGAACTTCTATCCATTTCAAAAGTAAGTGATTAAAGCGTTGCCGATAATAACCTTTGAAATTTCTAATAATGCCTGCATCACATGGCTGGATTTTGGAAGTGCTAGCTAGTGGTAGGAACAGAACAGTTGTGTGATGAAGTGGGGGGAGATTCTCCTTTTTGCCATGTGCAGTACAATTATCCAATATAAGCAAGACATTTCTATCCAAACGGCTATCAAACCACTTAAGCCATTCCATAAAAAACAAAAATGTCATCCATGCATTTGAATTCACTCGATACTTGCAAATGAGATTATCATGGTTAACATTATTAAAGCATCTTGGATTAAGAAACTTACCGATGACCCAAAGTGGAAGTTTGTTAGAGCCATCGCCATTGCAACAAATAACAATTGTAATCCTCTCTTTGTTTTGCTTTTGGCCCTCCAATTGCTTTGTTGCAAGAGAGTTATCGTCTTGCATTTGATAAAATAAGCCAGTTTCATCCATATTATAAATGTCCTTCCAAGCCCATTTGTCTAATTCCTCTCTTATTGATGGAAAACTAGCTTCAATATTCTCCATATTAACTAAACCACTTTCCCCAAAATGATGAAAGGAATGAATTGCAAGTCATTGCTTGAATTTTTCCAACCATCCATTTGAAAATTCAAATGAGGTAGCTTCGAGATAGAGTTTCCTTAGAAAAATATCTCCCTTCTCTTTTAACAATTCACCATTCATATTGACATGCTCTTGATGGCATACAAACCATTCATAGAGGGCAGACTCCATTGCTGGGTACTTTACCATCTTTGAATGTTTTGTGTTTGGGTTCAACAATCCTTCTTCTTGAAAGAGGTTAGCTGATCGTTTAAGTGTCTTAGATATTGCTGCTTGTGATACCTTAAGACCATGAGTATCTTCTAACCACTTCACAAGATCTTTCTGCTTCCAACTAGGGTTTGATTCTTTCATTTTGCACAACTCAACACGAATACTTTCGGTCAATTGAGTTCGTGTATTAACTTTGGGTGGCATGATTGATTTGCTAGAGGAAGAAGAAAGGTATCACTTGAATTGGTGGAAGATTTTATTAAAAACTTGATTGAATAAGTTGAAACATAACAACCCTATTTATAGCAGGCTAATCATAATTCTACTAGGATAAGTAAATAAGAAATCCTAATACTACTACTAAAACAATGAATTGAAATCCTACTAATACTAAAACATGAATTGAAATCCTAGTACTATCAAAACATGAATTTTAAAATAGGAAATCAAGTAATATTAAAAGTAAATAGGAAATCCTAATACTATCAAAACATAAATTATAAAATAAGAAACAAGTTATATTAAAAGTAAATAAGAAATCCTAATACTACTAAAACAATTAATTGAAGTCCTAATATATACTACTAAAACATGAATTATAAAATAAGAAATCAAAATAGTTTTTTTGCAACTACACATCTATTAAGTTATAACCTCCTTATAGTAATAAATTAGTTTGATCCCAACATTATGACTATAGAGACTATAGAGAGGTTTTACTATATATATATATATATATATATATATATCAAGCCTTTTGTTTAATACACCAATTATTAAAATATAATACTAGGAATTTAGAAGCTTATGGTTGCCATCATGGGTCCTGACACAGCAGCCTTATATTGAATGATTAATCTTCATTCTGGTGCACCCACACAACAACTTCTCCTTTTTCACAGCATAATTTACATTCAAAGTATCCAAAATTGATCTTTTGAAAGAAAATTATCAATCAAAAACCAGTTAAAGGAGAAAAAAATTCTCAACAATTTTGCCTGATTGGATGGTAGGAAAATTTAGACACATAATGGGGGGCACATGCAATATTTGGACACTTGTTTTTTAATAATTTTAATGAGACAAAGAAGGGCTTGGAGAATTGAAAAAGTTGTTAATAATTCGTCAATCATTCATGCATAAATTTGCATTGATAGCAGGCTGTTACCTTACAGCAGAATCGAAACAATTCTATGGTAGAAAAAGAAGATGATTGTTTAATTATATACAAAGAGACAAAAATGTTTTCTATTTCTAAAGAAAGTTGAATGGATAGAGTAATTTAGAATTGAAGTAATAATTCACAGGAGGAAATTGGTAATTAAAAGTTGAAGCTGATTAGGATTAGGTAGCTAATTTAGTTAATATATTGAAAATGTTAACATTTTCATCTTAAGTTAGTTATCTTTTCGAGAAATAACAATATGTGAAATATTAGATTTTGGTAGAGAAGAAGATCGTAGAAAGAGGAATTTTTTTATTATTATCGAAATGTTATTGTATAGTACACTTAAGTAGTAGAAAACGTTAACTAACTGAACCAACTCAACTAATTCAGTTAACCACAATTACAATTTGGTTAACCATAGTTACATTTAACTAAACAACACTAATGAGGTATACTTGATTAAGTTGAGCTGAGAGTTGAGTTGTAGTATGCTGATGTAGTAAGCTGTTGTAAACAAGTTCACGGAATAGCTTAAATCAGGCCGAGTCATGCATAAGTACAGAAGCTTACCAATTAACTACAGATAAGTTGAAGCATCATTTAGCAAAGGATCTCCAGTGACATTGAATTGCTTATCATAATCCAAAGAAGTGAATTTCATGTGCTGATCAAGAGGAATAACAACATGTCTAGCACTTGATAAACTAGTAGCATAAATTAATTCTAATGCATACTTACGCTGGCTGATGGAAATACCTTTAGCAGACCTAGCCACTTCTAAACCAAGGAAATACCGAAGCAGCCTGACATCCTTAAGCTTAAAATTGGAATGAAGCAAACTCTTTGTAGCATGTATCAGATCAGAATTGCTCCCAGTGATGACTATGTCATCAACATAAACTAAAACCACCACAATGTGACTTCTATATCTTTTGATAAAGAGGTAATAATCTGATTTTTCCCGGAAAATCCTCCTTGATGCAGGGCTATAGTGAGTTTAAAGTTCCAAGCTCTAGAGGCCTGTTTAAGTCCATATAAGGACTTGTGAAGTCTGCAAACCAAATGTTGTCCAGAAGGTTGATGGAAACCTTGAGGCAAAGACATATATATTTCCTCAGTTAAATCACCTTGTAAAAAGGCATTATCCACATCAAGGAGATACAAAGGCCAATTATGAATTGAAGCTAAAGAGAGAATGGTCCTTACAGTCACCATTTTAACAACCGGGGAAAATGTTTCCTCATAATCAATTCTAGCCTGTTGTGTGTAACCTTTAGCCACCAACCGAGTTTTATGCCTCTCCAAAGTACCATCAACATTAAACTTTAACTTATATACCCATTTACACCCAATTGGATTTTTACCAAGGGGTAAAGGAACCAATGACCAGGTATGATTGTCCTCTAAAGCTTTGATTTCCTCTGACATGACTTTTACCCATTTAGGATCTTTGGAGGCTTGGGTAAAATTAACGGGTTCAGTTAAGGAGGAAATTTTGCTAAGACAAGCTTGGTATGTGGGTGAAAGATGATTGTAAGTTATGGAATTTGAAATGTCAATGAAGGAGGTTTGCCAAATAATTTTTCAAAAGGAGAGAGACCTTTTAGTACAATGGTTGGGCATCTATTAATCAAATAGATTGTTGTTCGAATACAGTAGACCGAAAGTGTGTGTGGTAGATTGGATTGAAATTTCAAGGCTCTAGCAACCTATAAAATGTGTCTGTGTTTTCTCTCCACAACACCATTTTGTTGTGGAGATTAAACACATGAACTTTGGTGTTGAATGCCTAGCTTTGCTAACAACTCATGACAATTTCCGTTAAAAAACTCTAAGCCATTATCAAAACGAATGCATTTAGGTGTTATATGAAACTGATTTTGTACAATGATTAGGAAATTTTTAAGCAATTGAAAAACATCATATTTAAATTGCATCAGGAAAATCCATGTTACTCTAGTGAAATCATCCACAATTGTAAGAAAAAATCTTGAATTTCCAAAAGTAGGTACCTTATAAGGGCCCCATACATCCATATGCAAAAGATCAAAAGCTGAATTTGAAATACTTTGACTTAAAGGAAAATGTGTTCTGGTTTATTTTGCTAAAGGACAGATTTGACAATGTGAAGAATTGTCAATTGGCAAGTTATTAACCATTTGTTTTAGAATATGATTTGGGACATGCCCCAATCTTTTATGCCAAATATGAAAATCAGAAATTGCCCTAGAACTATGAATTGAAACTTTATTCATGGCTGCATTGCAAATACTCGGTGCAAAAAGTATTTTGGCCAAGGTATTGATGTCAGAATTGTGAGATGATGGTTGTGTGAAAGGCACATGAAAATATAAGCCTTGAAATTTTTTACCAATCCTTTTCAACCTGCCACTCCAGAGGTCCTGGATTAAGCAAAAATCAGGGTAAAAGGTAATTGCACAATTATTAGATAAAGTGTATTTAGAAACAGAAAACAGGTTATATTTGAAGTCCAACAAATGCAATACATGATCTAGACTAATCTTATCATCTATCCTAACAGATCCAGTGTGCTTAATTCTTATTTTGGCTCCATTTGGTAGGCCAACATATGTTTATGGATTAGAAGTTATGTCAATAGGTGCACTTAGCTAGACAATCTACTAGTCATATGATATGTTGCCCCTGAATCTATAATCCAACTTGTAATGTCATTAAAACAGGATAAAAGTGATGTAGCTATACCTGCCACATTAGCTGATTTTGAAATATTCTCCTTTCCAAGAAGTTGAAGCAGTTGAGAGTATTGTTCTGCTGAGAGGATTGTGCCTAGTGAATTTGAATTTTTTGGTGATTCCACAGAAGTGTTGGAGGCTGTATCAGGTTGTGTATATGCTTGATTAGTTGCTGCCCTATTCTTTGATCCATTCTTCCCCTTGTAATCAGTAGGGTGACCATGAATTTTATAACATGTATCCCTTTTGTGCCCCGGTAGATGACAAAACTCACACTCTATATAAGGCTTTTTCCCTTTATATTTGGGATTATGATTTTGCCTTTTTTGTGTGTTTTGCGCATAGAAAGCAGTAGTTACCTCTTAGCCAACATTATTTCCCGACAATATTCTCTGGCTTTCACCTTGGTTGGCAACAGAATACGCTTGTTTTACAGAGGGCAGAGACAACATCAACAGAATTTGGCTTCAAACCATAGAATATGTGTCATTTAATCCCATTAGGAATTGTAGTAATCTCTGTTGGTTTAAATGTTCAAGGTAAGCCTTAGCCGATATACTATTAGGTGGTGGTAAACTGATTAGGGAACTCAATTCATCCCACAATGCTTTCAATTTGTTGTAGTAGATGGCTATGGACATAGTACCTTGTGTGAGATTAACAATCTATCAATGAATTCCATAAATTCTTGTACCACTCACTTTATGATATTGCTCCTATAGATCATGCCAAACCTGATACGCACTAGTGGAATATACGATGCCATTGAAGATCTCTTTTGAGACTGTATTAAAGATCCACGCCAAGACTAGTGAATTGCATCGTTCGCACTGTGCTCCTAGGCTCAAATCAGACGGTTTCTTGCA